GGCCACTGCCTACACTGCTTGGAGGTGCCTCGAGAGGCCAAGCCATGAACCAAGGCTGGCTGCCGCTAGTGCCAGGCTTAGTGCTGCCCAGCCAGAGGGACAGGAAACGCTAAAGCCACTTACGAGTTTGGGTTTTGTGAACCTTTGAGAAACTTTAGGAAAGCCTACAGCATTTGCCAAGGAAGGCGATTTGTAGGAAAAAACAAAGTGGCTTGGATGTCCTGGAAGCTGGGTGGGGTGTGTTCTTAATTCACCAGGTGCCGAGCCAATAGTGTTACCAGGTTGATGGAGACTCAGATATGGCGGCTGCCTGTGTCTGTATGCTGGAAAAGGGGAGGGTCAACAAAGAAACACTTCCACCAGTTCTGACCTGGAGAAAGCTGCCCCTCCAGCTCTCATTCTGAAACTAGACTCAGTCCCCGTATGTCCCTGGCACCTTTGGAGCTATTTCCCCAGCCCTGGAGCTCAAAGCAGGTGAGTCCGTTAGTGGCTAAGTCTATGCATTGTGCCCTTTAAGAAGAGCATCTGGGACGCCAGCCTCCCTCTGTCTCACTCAGCCACAATCTCAGCTGGTTTTCACAACCAGAAATGATGGGGACTTCTCTCCCCGGCACTGGAACTCTGGACTGGGGAGCCTAGTGCAGCACTTGCTTCTCACGGGGGGACCTCCACAGCCGAGATATCCCTCCCAATTTTTAATGGCCACACACAGGTGTGGAACCAGCCTGTTTCACATCTCGACCCCTCCTACCAGTCTCGAGGTGGCTTCCGTATGTCCGTAGTTGTAGGGCTTCGGTTCAGCTAAACTTGAGGTGATTCTCGATGGCTGTTCTGTAGTTGTAATTTCGATGTGATTGTGAGATAAGGTAAGCCCAGCATTTACCTACTCTGCCATCTTGACCAGAATCTGACGCTGAATTATTATTGACAAAACTTTTTCTTTAAATAGGCTCACTTAAAAAATCTAAATTTTACTTTCAAATTAAAAATTTACATGCTACAAAATGGCACTACTAAAATGGAAACCCAGCATTACTTGCCATAGCTAGAAAAGAAGCTATTAAAATAATTAACAATGAAAGATAAACATAGACATATCTGATCTGGGTACTGTCTTTAATATGTGATTCTAAGACCTGCTCTTTCTTTGATGGAAAAGAAGGAGTGCAAGTACAGAACTGAGTTATCAGAAGGATTAAAAGAGCATTGAAAAGAAATGAACTTCACTAGGGCATTTTTTGCCTTTTAAATATTGGGTTGTCAGAAAAGTCATGACGTATTTTGTCTATGTTTTTCAAAGGTCATTTACTTATATAAAGAACAAAGATCAATGGATATATTGCCCGTTTTGTTCAATAACATTTTGCCATCTTTCAATGAACTTCATAATTCCTGGTTCATAGAAGGACCTGTGTTTATTTGCAAAAAACTGAACAAGGTGCTGATTTACAACCTCATCTGAGTTGAACGTTATACCACGCAAGGAGTTTTGAAGAGAGCAAAACAAGTGGAAGGCTGACGGCGCAAGGTCAGGCAAGTATTGTGGATGTGGAAACACATCCCATCCAAGCTCCAATAATTTTTGACGGGTGATCAGACTTGTTTGTGGTCTTGC